TGTCTTGACCAATTGATAATTTCTTTTTAAGAGACTCCAAGAACGAAGGGGAGGTCATTCTGGATCCAGGGATTTCTGATTCCTCAAGAACGACTTCTGAAGGAAGCGACCTATGACGCCCAAGTTTGCTACGTGATTGTGATATGGTGGGGCTGTCACAACCACTGCAAATGAGTTTTCCCTCTATTACAGAGATCTTTGACATCGATTGGTCGCCATTTTTACGGCCAAGCTCGAAGGAAGGGTTAGTTACAGAGACCCTGTCCTGGGAGGCGGATCGCACCACGTTACCCAAACTCTCCGTAATCTCTTTCACAACCTTGTCCCAACACTGTCCAGGTCGCCATTTTTACGGCCAAGCTCGAAGGAAGGGGGGGTTACAGAGACCCTGTCCTGGGAGGCGGATCGCACCACGTTACCCAAACTCTCCGTAATCTCTTTCACAACCTTGTCCCAAGTCACACTGTCCACCTCGCGGTTTGCGTCATTCTGGAGGGGGCACGGAAAGTAACACTCGTCTCATAGTACGTTTCGGCGAGCCACCGCAGTTGATGGCGCTTTACTTTTTCCGTGACCGGCGTACATGCCAAATGCTCGTTCTCTAATCACCGTCAAAAAATCGTTGACGCCATCCGACACCAGCGACGCTTCTAACACCTCGGTGGTAAAAACCCTCAAGAGGTTTCTCCCTACTCTCTCCCAATTGCCATGTTTCGCAGTCGTACAACAATACAGCCCTTACTGTAGCCTTGTAAACGCGACCCTTGAGACCTAATAGTATGTCGTTTTGACGCCACAGATGACAAATTAGCAATCATGATTCTGGTTTTTTTTAGATTCGTTCACCACCGCCAGACACTTCCGCCGAAGCCAATACAACTACCGACATACGTAAAATTCTCCACAACGTCCAGTGCTTATACTTCAATTGCAAGGGGCATGTTCAGAGACTTTGAAGTTGCAATGCGCATATCGAAAGGTTGTATAATGGTGATCGGTTTACTCAACAAGGATCAACCTTCATCTGCGTAATCTAGGTCGAGCGTCGGGGTTTTGAAGGCCTTCCAGTGTTCGCCTTACTAGTGCAACGACAACGAATTTGAACGGGTGAACATCCCTTCCGGACATCACTTTTTGGAGGAGCGCTTTTAAGGCGCTCACTGTGCACTTTCACACGCTCAGAATTATGTCCAAAAACTTATAGGATGTGCATGGGAGTACTGATCGATCTCCTAAATCGAACGAATCTGCGTAGTCAAGGTATACCAAGATTGTGGGTAGTCTGTGCATACGTTGTTGCTATAAACCGTAGGAAGTTTGAAGATGTGGTCGATGCGGCACGTATCCGGCTGAAATTCCGCTTGGTTTCACGGGTCAAAGGTTGGCGTGCCCTCGCAACGTGACGAATGGTCAGTGACGCAAGAAGCCTTTTTGCCAAATTGAGTTCCTTGTGGTTACTACATTCGCTACAAGTGCCCTTTTTGAAAATGGGCACTATCATCTGCTCAACCCAAGTGTCTTGGACGATATCTTCCTCCCAGATACACGCAAATAAGCTAGACTGGTACTAGTTGAGGTATTCACCCCCGACCTCGAACAAAAAAAGTGGAAGGTCGTCAGGACCAGCAACATTATGACGCTTGAGTGGAGGTATACGCTCAGACATTTCTGAGGCTGAGTGTTGGGGGCGAGACGGCCGAAGTGGTTAAGCGCGGAATTTACTTATCGGAAGGTCCGTGGTTCGAATCAAATAAGCTAGACTGGTACTAGTTGAGGTATTCACCCCCGACCTCGAACAAAAAAAGTGGAAGGTCGTCAGGACCAGCAACATTATGACGCTTGAGTGGAGGTATACGCTCAGACATTTCTGAGGCTGAGTGTTGGGGGCGAGACGGCCGA